ACACTATAAGTACCATTTTAAAAAAAATTATGGAGCAACCTACGTATAAAAATGCGGTTTAATTCCTAGACGATCGATGACGTATTGTAGTACGAACAAGATAATATTTGTTGGTGTAGCGGCGACAGTGGCGGCCTTGCCATCACTCAAAACTGTGACGTAAAAAGTAAATAAAACTTGATCTAGATCGTAGTGAATTTCGAAATAAAATGGAATTATGCAGTAGCAATGAATGTATGTAATGTTATGAAACATTTCAATTTTGATAAGCTGTCCAAATCTAATTAAATTTTTACGATATCAACGTCAAATTTTTTTCTATTCCACATACAATTGGAACCGATTGCAATCAGTGGATCGTATTTAACATTTCGCATGGAATTTTTTTTGTCAATATTTGGGTGGAGAAGGTTTAAAATAAATACTTTCATCTTTCTTATCGGTTTGTTTCTGTGATTATCAATGCAAAAAAGTGATATTTTCGAACTTCAATTTACTGATTGTTTATCGATAACAGAAGCAAAACGCAAATAATAAGCATCAATAAGAAAATTAGAGAAAATGTTTGTTCCGAGTACGAAACCAATTCAATACATTTAAACGGTTGTTAGTTTTAAATATTCGAAAATCAAATCGAATTGAATATATAATGGACCTCATCAATAGATGGCATTGAATGCGTGGCATTTTCGACGTTGACACCAAATATAACATTATATTATGGTCATGTTGTCGTTCCGTATCGACGCCATTTTTTTAATGGTCTTACTTAGTGAAATGCCGTGTGGAGTTTATAAAAAAAAATACCAGAGAGCGAAAAACTTATACATATAGAACATTTTTGAAACTAGTTTCAATTTAAAAAAAAGTAGATTTCTATCAAACGAAGCACCAATTAAATAAAATACAATTTAAACGTAAAGACGAAAGATCGTTTGTGTGAAACAATAAAAACAAAATTTAAAAAAACGTATTCGTTTTTATTTGTTAATAATTTTCTTCAGTTTCATTCGAAGAATTTGTGTGTTATAAGTATAATGAAATAAATCTTCCAAAAATGGATACAGTTGTTGCTTTTAATACCGAGGTAAACAAAAATATATTCGAGCATTTTAATTGCCTTGGACGCATCGATTTCGAATATATTCGCCAGACGAAAGCATTATCATTGAGAACAAAGTGATTGATCATAAAATTGAAATTGGGCCGTATATATTTAATGTGTATATACATTTAAATGAATTTTGTGGCGGTGCATCCGACAAGTACTCAAAGAATGAAGCTTTTAAAAAAATGAAGTTACATGTCAACTGAATGCAATGAATAAACGAACGAAACAACAGAGATGAAAATTTGCAAATCAATTTTTTTTTTTTTAAATTAAAAGTCTTTGATTGTTCATTTGAAAAAAAAAAAAAAAAAAAATAGTCCAAAGCATCAATGGGTGGGGTGGTCGCCCCCTAAGAGAAGAAAAATGGCAAGCGACATCGTGATCAAAGTGGCAAAAATAAATAAATATCGCCAGCAAATGAATCGAACGTAAAATAGTTTTTTTTTTATTGATTTTTAAGTATTTGAAGAAGGCTTTGAGCGATAAAAAAGGGTATTATGTGTGCGTGGTTATTTGGTTAATATTCACACGCTTATTGTAATGTATTTGCCCTAGTGCGTGTACGATATGCATGTTAGTGTATGTGTACGTGTGTAAGTGTGTGTGTGCATGAATGAATGAATAAGTGTGCGTGTGTATTTGTGAAATATGCATTAGAGACAAACTATATGGCATTCGTCATACAAGATCAGCGACAATGGGCTTGAAATCACACACTAATGAATTGAAGAAGAAAAAAAAACACAACAAAGCCACCCGAATAGAGAAAAACACATCAATCCAATGTCAAAATATAAAGCTCGCTTTGATCAAATGCGAATCTCTGCCTGCCTGCTCGAAATTTATTTCTGTTGTTCCGTATCGAAAAGTGAAAATGTACCCGCTATATATTCTCCGAACAATGAATGAGGAGCTAAAAAGTAAAAATACAGAAAGAATGCGACGAACGGCCCAATTACATTTTTGTGCTGTCACTTTTTATTATTGTCTAGCCTTAAGTAGATCGGCGTCCAACCGTGCAAAAAGACAAAATGCCTAATATATTATTTTTTTTCGTCTCTTTTTCTCGTTTTATTTATTTTTTTTTTATCTCGTATGTCAAATAGCTCTCGGGGCTTTACGAATCAAAGCCGCCGATCTCGAAAGCAAAAATGACATCCATTACACGGAGTGCAATGAAAGCGATCAAATTTTACAAACATGTTGTACAAAGTGTGGAAAAATTCATATTGAAATGCAAACAAGAGTATAAAATACCCGGTTTGTATGTCATTGATTCGATTGTACGCCAGTCGCGACACCAATTTGGCACCGAAAAAGATGTGTTTGCACCGCGTTTTGCACGCAATATGCAAACAACATTTGCCAATCTATTTCAATGCAGCCCAGAAGACAAGAGCAAAATCATCCGTGTGCTGAATTTATGGCAAAAGAATAATGTATTTGCACCCGAAGTCATTCAACCCCTATTCGATTTGGCCGATCCAAATCATCCGATTTATCAGAATCAAGGTACATCTCAAGACACGAATGTCAACGGTGAGTTGGGTGCGCCACTATTAAGCGCCACTGCCGAACAATTTACCAATCCTCAAACATCATTCGAGACCGTGTCATAACATCGTTTTTCTTTCTCTGCAATTTTTTGTTCAATCTAGGTATGATGAATACAATCACTCAGGAGTCACCTGCGCCAAATATGACTGATGAAGGTCACACGATGTCATCTGATATGTCGGGACCGGTACGATTTTCTTTTATCTTATTTTTTTTTTTTTTTTCAAATGAATTTTTGCCGATTTTACTAATGAAAAATGTTTCTGTTTTCCCGTTCGCTCTTCCCATCCAGATCAATTCAATGTCAAATGTGTCTCATATCGATCCAAGCACAATACGCCATTTGCAACAATTAATGCTCATTCGGCAGAAGAACAATGAACCAATTGCAAGCACAAGCTCAAATTCGGCAATGGGACAAGATTCAGTGAAATTCAATAAAAAATTGCTGGACTTTGATTATGGCGATGATGAAGATGATGATAATAAAGGCCAATCACCGCGCCAATCACAACAACAATTGCCAACAAATTCAACGCTTGATAACAGTAACATATCGCAATTGTTGAACGATCCAAATATACTGCGGCAATTGCATAATTTGCAAAAGCTCAAGCAAATTGAAGAATCGAAACAATCGAAATTGGCCGAAATGCGAATGCAAGAAGAAGCATTTGAAAAACAATTGGCTACGATGTTGAAGAAGCTTCCGTTTGCCAACGAATGTGACCTCAGTCGACAGGACAACCAAATTTATGGCTTACAAAATGCCCAATTAAATCCAAATCAAAATGGACCAATGTATATGACATCGAACGCATCTGAACAAGGTAAATAATTGTGTATACATTTTATTTTGCATCGCGTTAAAAGTCTTTTGTGGCTCAAACAATTCTATTTAATTGAATATTTTCAGCAAAAATCGATCCAGACGTTGAATTGGTTTCCGACGACGGAAAAGTTGAAGTGATTAATTTAGATGGAAATTCACGAAGCCCTTCGATCGAACGAGACCGATACAGCAAACGACGAAGAAGTCGAAGCAGATCAAGAGATCGACGCGGTCGATCAAGGTAAATGAGCTTATTATCAAATCCGATAAAATGCCAACACATTAATGTTTGGATGGTTTTCAGGTCACGGGATCGTAGACGAAGCAGAGACCGTGAACGACGGAAATCAACGTCACGTGACAGGCACCGAGACAGAGATCGTGGCAAGGACAAAGAAAAAGAGCGTGAACGGAAACGCAAAGGACTGCCCGAGATTAAAAAAGAACATTTAAGTGGTAAGAAGTGGATTTTATTGTATTTTTTTTTTTTGTTATTAAATTTCAATTTAAAATTATGTGAAATCGATTTAATTAAATTTCTTCATGTCCAATTCAAACAGTATGTAGCACAACATTGTGGATTGGCCACTTGTCGAAATTGACGCAACAGGAAGAACTGTCGGATATTTTTACCAAGTATGGTGACATTGTCAGCATTGACATGATTCATCCGCGTGGCTGTGCATTTTTGGTGATGCATCGACGTCAAGATGCGTACAAAGCAATCGACGGTTTAAACGGCTACAAATTACATGGCCGTGTCATATCAATCTCATGGGCGGCGGGCAAAGGTGTAAAAAGTAAACAATGGAAAGATTACTGGGATTTAGAATTGGGTGTTAGTTACATTCCATGGGATAAGCTCGATCAAAATACGGATTTCGAGCAATTAGAAGATGGTGGCATGTTTGATGAAGATTCAATGCCAGCTTGGCTCAAGGAAAAACTTAAAAATCAATCACAACAAAAAGATACGAACGATGCAGCTGCTGCAGCTGCTGCGGTGGCAGTTAATCAAGTCACAAATATGGCAATGTTTGGCATGGATCAACCGCCGCCAACACAACAACAACTTATGACCAATATGTCACAAATGGTGCCACCGTTCCCAATGGGTTCGGGACCAGTGCCACGCTTTATGCCGCCAATGATGACGCCCGGTTTACCTATGGGCGTTCCACCTCCAGGCGTAAGTCGAATGATATTAGATGTTGATTACAAAGATATTTTTCATTGATTTTTCGTTTTGTCTTTTCATTTTGCAAACAGCATCCCATGAATGGGCAAATGCCAATGATGATTCCACAGCCAATTGTGCCAGGAATGCCAATGGCATCACTTGACAAACCACCACCTGGTGCACCTGCCCCATACTTCTTTCCTCCAATACCGCAAATGCCTCCGATGGTAAAAAAAAACTCATTTATTAAAATAAATACTGAAATGTTAACACCAAATGTAATTTCTTCCGAATAGGCTCCCGTGATGACCACACCGGCAAATGTGAGTGGTTCCGATGATCAAATGGACATTGAAGAAGATGAAACAAATCAACCAGCCGATCCAATGTTCCAAAAGAGTCAAACAATGTTCAATCGGCCACCGCCGAAAATTTTTGGACAAAATCCAATGCCATCAAATGATTTCAGCGGCAAAGATAATCGTGGACCAAACTTTGATGACAGTGGAAATTCAAGTCATGATAGAGATAATGATATGAAAGATTTTCGTGGACGAGGCGTTGATCGGGAACGTGACAATCGAAATCGGGGCAATCGATCACGCGATTATAGCAATGAACGTGGTGGCGGTAGCGGTGGAAGTAGCGGTCGAAACTCAAATTCCAGATGGTCAGATGGACGAGGTCGATCACGCGAAAATGATCGTATTACACCAACCGATGGAATTAATCGTGATTTTAACAATTCAAGAAATAACATGCAGTGGAGAGATCAACCACCAAATCAAATGAACTTTAATAATAGTTATATGGATCAATCGAATCCACGAATGAATATTGGCATTGGTGGTGGCGGACCACCAGCACTTGAAGATATGAGACTACCAATTCCAATAGATAACTTAAGAGGCGGTCCAATGGGACCAAACTGTAAGTAAAATGAAAAAAAATCAATTTAAACAAAGAAAAATTAGAAATAGAACATTCGGTTTCATAACTGTGTTTGATTGCTCTTTTTAGCCATGAACAGTAGACGACGTGGTGGTAATGATTACGACCGAAATCGCTTATCAACTGGTCAACAACGTGATTTCTACAATCAAAATCGATTCGGACCGCCGGGTGGCATGAATGGACCGGCCGGAGGTATGAATATGCGAGGAGGCAATATGCAAAACTTTGGACCAAGAAATAACTTTTCGTGGCAACCAAGATCTGGTTTGTGCAAAAAAAAAAATTATCAAACAAAATAGTTCACACTGAATTTAGATGGAAATAGTCATTTCTCACTTTATGTGTGTAAATATGCAATTTCGTGAGAATCAAACGAACGAAGTCGACACAGAATTACATCAGCATACTAAACGATGAGAACATTTAACCATAACAAAAGTTTATTTGAAGTTTTTATACCATTTTTGAGGTCATTTCGATATTGCAACGGCACATTTTCATTTTTACTTGTGATAAAAAAAAACATTATTGATTTTATTTTTTTATTTTTTCGAAAAAGTCAAAACAGTTGTCATCATGCAATTTTCGATCATTTTAAATAATAAAAGATTTGAAAGAGAAAAAACGTCGTATTGTCATATGACACACAATATGTCACAACTACAAACAAATGGAAAATGTTCATTGAGATCAATGTCATTCATGTAAACATTCATGGAATGTATCCAATTCAAGTACTCAGACTTGATTTACTTACTTTAATATAAAGTTCATTTCAACTTACCCCAATTTTTGAGACATTTGCACTTTTAAGCTAATATTTTAACCTTTAAATCTCTGAAAAAACATATATTTTTTTACATATCAAAATGAGTGCCAAATTAGCACCGCTAACTTGACAAAATGAAAAGTTCCGTGTCACTTAACACATTAATGTTAGTAAGCACACGAAGCACCTTCTTAGTGCCATCAATGTCAAACCTTAATTAATGTGATAAAACATTGAACAAAGAAGAAAGAGTGCTTTTTAAGCCCGATAGAACTTTGAATTGAAATAAAAATAACAGTGTTTCGAATTTAATCAAAAAAATCCACCTCAGTTGGGTTCAGTGAAAATATTATTACATATGCCCATTTAGGAGGGGTGTCGATAATATTTCCTGAAATAGCTTGGACGCCCAACCTAAGCCCTTAAATCGGGGTTGGAAGTAAAGTGTTATGTCAACCACAATGGGTGTGAATTGTTCAGAAACGGATTCACGGTAGTTTTGATTTCAATTCAAAGAACATTGTACACTGAGTGAGACGTCTATATAACTCAAATGTGGATTTCAATGCGAGTGAGAGAGGCCAACACATGAAAGCCTCACTTTTTATACAAACTTCTTTCTATCAGTATAAAAAATCTTTATATTGTCGGTAATTTTGGTTAATTTAAATAACGCAAAAATGGTATCAAATTTCAAATTCTTTGATTTTCTTATAGAAAAGTATATTGTAATTGATTTTAATTCGTTTTGAAAATAAGAGATGTCGATTGCAATTTTTAAAAATTCAGTTTTAATTTCAAATCCGAATTAGAATTGGTTACAATTTATATTTTTATCGAAAAATTTCTTCAAATCGAATGACATTACTAACGTTAGACGCATTAACTCATTTTGATGAATGTTAATTTTTTAACATGCAGGAATGAATAATGAGCGATCAGATGGAAATTTTAATCGAAACGATCGAAATCGAAGCAATAACAATCCCCGCGGGCCACGTGGTCATTGGAAAGATAATGAAGAAAGTGGTTCACCCCAAAAGAATCGAAATCATCGTGGAAATTTCGATGGCCAAAAGGATAGAAATAGGTGAGGTTTATTAGCATTGCGTTTATTTATGTATATATTCCTTCACAACATATAGTCTTATGAATATTAATGAAAATAATTGAATCAACAAATATTTCACTTTTTTTTTTAAATGAAATATATTAATTTGCCTACCCTAAATGATGAAACAAAAATCCAAAATTAATCGAAACGCCATTTTTATTGTTATTAGTTTCAGTAATTTCGGCGATAGTTCGTTCAATAATGATAAGCAAAATGATTTGGGTGATTTGGAGCCAAGGAATTTGAATGAATCGTCACATCATGAAAGTGGTGATCACAGTGTCACCGGCGGTGCTTTTGATGAAACGAATGAATCGACACCGACGACGACAACAACAACAACAACGGCGTCCGACACAACCTCAACGTCAAAACCAGCCAATGAAGAGCGAACATTGCCACGCATTCAAATCAAGTCACCGTCAAAGTTAGCACAAGAATTTAGCGAAAAGCAAAAACAATCCGATATGATGTCCACATCGTCAAACGAAATTAATCGAACAAACAATAATAAAACATCGGTGGATCTGAATACAACGCCATTGTATGATGAACCAACTGAAAATCGATCATACTCATTGAAAGAACCAACATCCTCATCGCATTCATTCGACACACAACAACCAAACCATGATACACTCGCGAGTACGACCGACGCAAATGCATTAGTTGCAGAAACGGACAATTGCGAACATTAATTCGAAAATTGAAATGTTTAAAACAACAACAAAACTAATAACTAAACAAAATTAGCACAAGTGCGCGTGGATTGATGACGAACTTCGCCTCTGTTTCCTATTAGTCTGTACGGGTGCGTCGAATCAAACAGATAGTAAAAAGAGAGATAGAGTTAGATAGAAACAAATATCTAAAATTATCGAAACAACAAATATGAAAAACAAAATCGATCAAGGAAAATATGGCTGTGATGTAATTTAATTATGTTTAAAATGGAAGTGGACAAACAAAATCGTTTGTTCAACATCGGGACTTTAGTTAGTGCGACAAAAAAAAAATGAACGTCACTAGAGTAGGATGTTTGCGTTAGTCATTTGGTACACAATCACAATGTACTGCATTCACACTTCGTCATAAGTTCATTTAATTCAAATTCAACAACAAAAGAAAAACAAACACAAAAATGTAGACATTTTTGTTTAGGTTTTTTTTACAAAAATATGTTTTTAATTTATTGAATTATCTATCAAGTGATGCTCAATACAAATTTCAATAGAATGCCGAAACTTTGATTTTCAAAAGTTTTTGACATGTAAATTTTAAAATCGTATTGTTTATTTTTTTTTACAACAAAGAAAATCATTTAGACGATCCTTTCCAAACGTGCAACGATTTATGTAAATTTTAATGTTTTTTTTTTGGTTATCAGAAATGCAATTATAATTTGAAGAGAGAAAGAGAGAGAGAGACAGAGACAGAGAAACTTTGTAGCAATAGAGAAGCGTAAACAATCTTATGCATATTATATATTATTCATTTTTGTTTGGCAGAAAAATATGTGGTATAAAAACTATTGACAACCGATTGATTGTAGGATTGAAATATAAAAATCTAACAGGATTTGAATGATAGAAAAACAAACAAACAAAAAATACCGTGAACAAGTGAGAAATACTCAAAACATAATAATTCATTTTTTTCATATTTAGACACATATGAATGTTGCTTGGTATTTAATGCCACATTCGATTTATATATAGATAGATTATACATAGATTAATCACGATGAGCCAAGAGATTAAGACATTCAGACAGACAAAGAAAAAAAAAATTGCAACCCTCATAAAAATTGGCATTTTATGTTGTGCGTTTTTATATCAGATGGCAAGGCATTTTTTGCGATAATTTTCTACCACATTTTTTTTTAAAAAACTAAACCAAAAAAAAAACTCAATCATCGGCATATACATATTTCTGATAGAAGGGCAAAAGTTGTTTTTTTGAAATATATAGTAAAATTTGCAACGATCAAAATAAAATTGACCGGACTTAATATTTGCCAGAATGAAAAACAACAACAAACGACAGTTCAACGTGTTTTATTGTAAACGAAATTTATGTGTTTGTTTTAGAGAAATTACATAAAAATAAGAAAGAAAATGAACGCATTTAGGGTTTTATAAACATATTTTCGGTTTAGATTTTATTTTTGATCCATGATGTGTGTGTGTGTTGTTTGTGAGCGTCGACACGTTCTAAACGGCAACCACAAAGCTGCAAGCACATTGTTAATGTTTTATGAAAAATATTCAAATTTCGAGTTATTTTGCTTTGTTTTCGACAATAATCTTCACTCTTTTTATTAATATAACAAGTCCAGAGAAAATACCAATTATATTTCGTTTTAAGTTAATTTATGTATATTTTTTTTCTCGCTCGATATTTAAAATGTTTACATGTGCAAATAAGAGATTATTACCACGGGCCAAGAAAATAAAAGAGTTTTGTTAATGTAAGGTAGGTTTTGAAACAATGAAAGCAAGAGACAAAAAGAAAACAAAGGCAAATCCGCAAAGGTGCCAATATCTATTTAACATGCCCCACACACGCACATCAAGCCACTTTTTTTATTGTTCAAATATTATTTATAGAGAGTGACACTTCGTGATTCGAATCGGAAGGAAATGAAATAGTGATGTAAAATATGGATACAAGCGCTTGCACTCGAATTGAGTGACTTGTGCAAGGTACAGTGCTTTGTATTTAACAAAATCTCTTACATTTTATATACATTTTACACAGAAAACAAGAACAAATCGTATTCTTTTCCAATTAGTTAAAATCAGAAAATCACGTTTTTTTTCTAGAAACATTTTGTTTTTTCAAAACACGTACATTTTTTTTTTAAATAGAAGAAATCTAATATAGAAGGTTAGAAAATAATTATATCGCCGGCATACAACATCACACGTTTACAAAATATATAGATAAAAAAACTGAATTCGAATGAAAAAAAATAAAATAAAATCACCGTAAATATGTTACAATCAAATGACAAAAGTTTTAAAAAAAACAATTTAAATTACAATGTCATGGATTTCTCATTCGAATTTCGAAAAAAAAACATCTCTTTGTAAAATTTTATCGATAATTAGAATAAACAATTGAGAAAATTGGCGATTGAATGCCTTTAATCGTTTCTCGCTAAGTTTTTCCACAGCGTGCCCGGAAATAGACGAAATTATGCTTTAAAAACGATGTAATCGTGTGTGTTGGCTTGAAAAGGTGTTTGAACTAATGTAATGTTGTGACAGAAAAAGAAATAATTTTAATCTTTCACATATTCAACTTATTTTATGTTGTATAGAACATAATAGAATCATTAATCTCACATTTTGTCCATTCTTTTCTTCTCATAAATTTAAACAAAAAGAAATCAAAAGATAAAATTTATTTTGCCTCACAACCATATTTACCTTGATCAATTTTTCATAAATTTTTTTTTTACTATTGATTAATCAGTCATCTATCGACGCAAATGTAAAGCAAAATATTCCCATTCAAATTGGGAACGCAAAAGAAAATCCTATTCCCATAGAAGAGGAACACACAAGATAAAACCATATACAAAAAAAAACATATTACTTGTAAAAAATTTGACATACATTTGATAAGCAGAAAATACATGTGAAGATACGGAAATCGAATTATACAAGCAAAAAACAACAACAACAAAAATGTTAATAATAGAAATCATTTAGAGTTAACTACTTTTAAATAATATTTTTTTTCTTCGTTTTGAATTTTGTCCCTGTTTTTTTTTTTAATTTTTAATTTTTTTTTTTTGGCATTACACTGCCTTTTATTACTTCAAAAATTATAAAAACCAATTTCTCCCTTTTTCCGGTAATATTCAATATATATAGGATATATATATATAAATTAGACAAAAATATATATTTTGCTTTAAGATCAAGAAACTGCAAAATCTAGTGGAAATAACTCATTCATACACACACTAAAACTCATTGAAGAATATGAAGAATGACAAAAAAATACAACAATTCCGCGCCATTCTTGTGCCATGCATACGCGCTGTTTGATATGTATGTGTGTGTGTGTGTAGATAAAACGATGCGCGGCACAAGAGCGAACCAGAATCTGTTGAAAATGTAGATTTTGACGAAAAAAAAGATAAAGAGAGAAAATGGAGAAATATTGCTTTATTTATATTATGATATAAAACAATTAACGAAGAAAAAAAAAATCTGAAGTAAAAACCGAAAATACTACTTGATTTATTGTGGTTTTTATTTTATGTGCAGCGCGTGGACTCCTATTTACTCTTCATGCCATTTTTTCTTTTCAATGCGTTAATTTCTTCAACGTGACGATAAGGCTCATTCATTTAAATATCTGTTTCATGATACATTCATTATTATAATGTGTGTCATTCATTCATTAGATCATATTTGGCTGTTATTAAAGCCGAAAAATGTCATGCCATTTCTATTCTATTTCAATTCATATAACGGTTGTTTTTGCATTTTTATCTACCTCTTTTTTTTATCTCGACACAGTTTTTGTATTACCTTTCACATAATTTCGTTGTACCACAAGAGAATCATAAGATTATTCAAAAATCCACCATACATCTCTACGTTGTGCCAATTGGATATTTGAAAAATATGGGCAATATGTTTCACGCTACAGTTTTCGCTTTGATATCAAAGCAATAAAGTTAGCCAGTAGAACTTGTTTATTTTCAGAGAAAATAAATGTCAAATCGGAAGATGGTCCAGACTTTAGTTGGTGTTCTTTTCAAAGAAGAAAAAATAAGGTAAGATTAAAAAATCGTTTTCCAAAAATGAAAGAAGAGTTTAGATCAGTGTGAAAATGTACTTTCAAATAGATAGATGTTTGCTAGATTTTGTTTGTATTAGAATGATTTTTGCTAGGGGCTTATCGCACTTTCGAAAATTACAATTATGAGCAAATATCGGCGATTGTGCGCCATTTTGAACGATTTCGTACCACTCTTCTTTGCAAATGAATTTTTGTTCAAAAAATAAATAAATATTTTTTTTTTTTACTTTTCTGTAGTATTTTTAGAGCGGTATACAGGGTATATATTCTCCATAATCTACTATCACTCTAGCTGTCACTGCAAGTGACGCTGTACTCAAATTATTCGCGCTACATTCGTGAAAAGTGGTCAAAAATCGTCAAAAGTGGTACGAAATCGTTCAAAATGGCGCACAATGCTCATAATTGTCATTTTCGAAAGTGCGATAAGCCCCTAGGATTTTTGTCTGGCAAAAATGCGACACGTTCTAAAAAATATCTATTCTGGGTTGATTAAAATTTCTTTTTTGTTAAACAGTCAAATGACGAGCTCAATCAACTAACAATACGCGATCAAAATCGATTGTTTCAAACAATTGTTTCGTGACCTATACATCTGTTATACATCTTTTGATATATAGCACCATTTGTTCAAATATGATTGCTCATCGGAAATGTTGTATTCAAAGTACACAATGAGGCACGAAATGATACAATTGTCTAATTTCAATAAAATAAGTTCTTTTTGTTTTGATTTTTTTTTTCAATATTTTTTGTTCATTTTCGTTTATCTTTACAAGCAGTCATTGTTCAGAAAAAAAAGAAAATGTATTTGTTCTTAATTATACACCTTCTTATCTTTTTTTTATCTCATTTATTACAGTCATTTACAAAGTGATTAAAAAGAAGAAGAAAACCTATGTCGTCTTCTTCTTTCTCAATAATAGTAAATTCATTTTTCTTATCGCCTAATGTATTTTATTTTTATTTCATTTTTTACGCATTAAATAAACGGATTAAAATATGTGTTCATCTGGTTTTGTTTAAATAATTTATATGTATAATATGAATTCGGGGGGAGTGGATTGTATGTGTTCGTTTATCTACTTAAATGTCTCCTTTAATGATGATGGCCTATCGTCAGGACCAGTGGCATTAATGCGCCAACAATTAAAATGGCTAATTCACTATTTTTGAGTCCCGTAAATCCTTTTGGCGCTGGCATTTGCGGAGATTCTAGATGACTGTATGTGGGAGGTGCATGTGCATGGCCTCCAGTTGTCAATTCCGGCAACACATGCACCGTTGCTACATACAAAAATGTACCTGCTGAAAATAACATTGCAATGCCGGTTGCATTCACAGAATTTAATGTTTCTTTTTGCTCTTGTCCAATGCCAAAGTAAGTAAGAATCGTTAGCAGTGGGGCGGACAGTGAGAAAATAGCCAAATGTCTTCGTATTCTATTTCTGTTTTAAAAACGAAAAAAAGAGCAAAATAACACGAAATTCGAAATGAATTAATAATTTTTCGATCAATCGAATCAATATCTTTTAAAAAATTCATAAATGTCAATTCAAATATGTCAAAATTATTTTGGGCAATTTTTTTATACCTATCAATGCCTTCGTGCAATAGAAAACTAACAAGTCCAAAAGCGGCCGGTGCTTTGTGTAACATAATCGCTAAGAAAACAATCATTTCCACGTCTTGGTGACTTGTTGTTGCAGCTGCACCAAGTGCAACGCCATCAGCTGCCGCATGCACTACCAAACCAATTGTGGCTGTACTATTGCGATCCGAACCGTATGTATCTTTATTTCGTCGTGATGAGATTTGATCAACAATCATCATAAATACAAAACCCAATACCAATGACAGTCCAATCGTTGATGAATGATCGGGTTCGTCATCTGTATGATTCAATTCGGGTACAATTTTTTCATTGTTTGGTGATTGTGATGACACCATGTGTTGAACATCGCTACTGTACAAAGCGCGTATTCCCTCTGGAATGATCACAGTTAAGGCAGTTCCAACAAGTAAACCAGCACCAAAGACAGTAACAACTTTTAATTTCTCCTCCGACAATGTGACAACCAATGGTATACTGCCGGCCAAATACGATCCAATCAGCATAACAATTGTAAGTAACAGTAACATAAGAGTTTCCTCCATTTTTTTCTAGTCTATTTTATTTGACGTGCTTTGTGTGAATGTGCGTTGGTTTCTTCGGTAGTTTAATCTTAAAATTGATATGTATTCGAAGCTAAATAAGCATCTATTTTAATACTGATCGTTTTGTTTGTAAGTTATTTGTCAACTTTGGCGATAACAGATGATGCGACCCGTTGTATTGTGGTTTGCCAATTTCTTTGTGTTTTTCAATTGTTCAAGACTCAATAAGTCGTTGCATTTAGACATTAACAATAAAAACTAAAAGGCGAATGAACTTGATTGAATAATAATCACAACGTTCTAATCACAAAATTTAACACATGTAAACGCATTTATCGACGAAAAACATCCTTTTTTTGTTCATGATAAGATTGCCATTGTGTTTGTTAACAAATAAGGAGCGTTCTAAATTGTCAATACTCTTCACGATGGAATGTATTTAATTTTCGAATTAAAAAAATCCAATTAAATTCGTGGCAAATGTTTTGCGTTACTCTCGTGTGTTTTTTTTTTTTGATGAAAAATTCCTTTGGTTCTGTTTTGCTTTGATTCAGAATGCAAAACACGATGGAGAGACACATATAAAAAAGATACAAATCACAATCAAGTCTTTTGCATGTTTAGGCAATAACGGACAACTGACACATAATCAGCGGAATTTTACACAGTGCTTGCAACAAAATTGATAAGATTCACTTAAGGTTCTATTGTTTTTTTTTTCTATCGCTTCTGGCACTCAAATACAAGCGATCGTTTACACTTTTTTACTATCACTCGGTGTCACTACGATGTGTGATGATGCTTATGCACAGAGAATGAAAGCACACAAAACTCGACTACTTTGTGTTCATGTATAGCAATGCAAAGGGCCACACTGCAACTAACAACCAATTGAGCTCCGTAGATCTGTTTGGAAAATGAAAGGCAATGGCAAATTACACGACGTGTCAAAATTGACTTGAAAAACGTCAACCAAACATACACACAACGAAATGTCAAACTTTCGACAATTTCATATACATTGCTTCGTATATATACACATGACGTAGTCGGTCGATGTGTGTCGTATGATTCTACTGATACTCACAAGAGGGTGGACCTGTGTATGTGTGCAATTCACATACAATCATCAGAAAATGTTTAACTTTCAAACCAATTTTATTCAGTTTTTTTTATGAAATTGTTGGTGATTTTTTTGTGCACTTTTCGAAATAAGCACCAACAAACCGATTTCTTCATTTTTTATTCGATTTTTTCATTTTTTTTTCTCCAACAAACTGTTGATGAATCACATTTCTTCAACTCTTTTTTTTTTAGTCGATGAAGGTAGTCGAAATCAATTCAAAAGAGGCAGAAACGAAAATACAAGTACAAATTTTTTTTATTGAAAACCCGTTGTTAATTGTGTTTGCTGACTGTTCTTTTTCCACTTTGCTTTTGATGGTCTTTTTTCACGCTCGCAATCGTCACACAAAAAAATCTATCAAATGTTTTTGATTAATCACACTCGTTAAAGAAAAATAAAGACTAAACATATTTTGTCACAATATAATTTGTTTTTATTTATTTTTATTGTGCAGTGCACGATTTTATATCTTTAGACCTTTTTTTCTTGGGTAAACAATTGGTCTTCAAGAACAAAACACATATACTTCTTGAGCTAAAAGGTCTGTAGCAAGTTTTACTTAAAACATTTTATAGATTATTTAAAGCTGCTTGTGAAAAAGAGAGACAAGAAAATGGAAATTGTTTTTTTTGCAAACCATTCTAACCATACGGACAATTTTATAAAGAACTTGAAAATATATGCAGCGCATTCTAATTTTGTTTTACTGCCGCAAAACGATAAACACAAACAAAACACATTAAGGCCACTTATTTAGTGAACGATCATTTTCAGTTAATGAATGGAATTGTTGAAGGAAATCGAACCATTGCCAACACTTAATTTTTCATTCAATCTGCGAAAAATTGTATTTTTTTTGGAAAAAATTATTTTTTGTTATTGTTGTAATTGTAATGTCACAGACAAGTCATTCGGCTGTACTTCAAATGTAATAAAATTCTGTCTCGACTCAGAATGAGTGTTCACAAAATTGTTGTTGTTTTTATATAGTATATAGATTTCTTCTTCCTGTAGTGCAAACATGAAAGTCCTATCTTATGGAATTCTATCCGCCCTTATTATTATCTATTACAAAATATTTCTTTTTTTTGAATTACGAATTTGATGAATCTGCAATTGCCGGCGAACAAAAATAAGTTTTCGAAGTCTATTGCTTCAGAAAAACTAATTTTCTTGCCAGCTCATTACAATGCTGAACTCATCGTGTTTTCTCGTGCATCATTTTATGATTTTTTTTTTTGAAATTTTTAAACGATTTTGTTTTTTCTTTTCACTTTTTCTATCCTGTTATTGGATTTGGGTGTTTTGTTTTTCAGTAAATTTCCTTAAATCTATATACTATTGATTATAGTCCACATCGGCAATCAGACGGGTTCGTTCGTGATGAATTTCTCTGTTTAAGTTGAATATTTCGAAGCGCCGCATCTCCAAATTGTATTCTGTAAAATAAAAATGGTTTAAGTTGAAACAAAATAAAATAAATGAAAGAAACAGAAAAATATTTAATAATAAAAATGTACCCGGAACCGGTGCGTTCTGGATCAAGTTCGCCGGTTTCAATTTTCGCTAAAATACTTTTTGAGCATCGCAGAAAGGCTTCTTCAACATTATCACCGGTTTTTGCACTGGTTTCAAGAAATATGAGCTCATTTTCCTGTGCAAAATTGCTGGCTTCAAGAAACGTTACAGCACGTGCTTCTTCCAAATCACGTTTATTACCGACCAATAGAATAACAATGTTCGGACTCGCCAATGTTCGGGCATCATTTAACCATGCGGATAATGCATTAAATGAATCACGTGACGTTGTATCGTACACCAATAATGCACCAGCTGCACCTCGATAGTATGAACGTGTTACTATTTAAATAAAAATAAACACACAGAAATTAGTTGATATTCAATTTGTTTATTGTATCAATTCTTACCAGATCTGAAACGATCTTGACCAGCGGTGTCCCTATTGAAATTTGAACGAAATTTTTTTTTTAAATCGATGAGATAAAACGATGCAAATTCTACTCAATTTTAATATTCACCATATCTGTAATTTGACGACCGATCCGCCTACGTTCACAATTCGCGAACCAAATTCAACGCCAATCGTATGTGAACTATCTTCTTTGACTGCAAATACACATCAAAATCAAATATAATTTGTTCGACTGAATAAATTTGAATACACTTACATTTATTCTCGATGAAATGATGTAGCAAACAACTTTTACCGCTCCCAGCGCTGCCAATTATTAGAAATTTGAATAAATAATCTAAAACATGTAACGGGATGACAATCAGTTGAGCACGATAACAGCGGCAAAACGACAGAAAGAGATGGAACAACAGAAACATTAAATTTCGATTCGTTTTTTTTTGTTATTTCTCAAAGAAAATGAAAAGTATCAAATATATTTGATTTAATGAAGTACGTCAATTGAACTATTTGTATTGACGTACAATGTCAACGAGACTAACAAGATTGAATTCAGCATGTTTCAACTAATCTAATCATGGCATTTCATGAATTTGTTATGCACATAACATTTGTAAGCAACAAAATAACTGAAAGAGAGAGAGAAAACGAAAAATGACCAACATGCGGTCGAAGCAAATGTGCCTTGTACAAATGCGAATAATAAATGTACCGTCACACATTTATAAATTCCAATTCTACATATGGATACACATCGAAGTGGGTAAATCAACGCGAACACGCAAACTGAATCGTATCCGAAAAAAAAGTGTGCATAAATACGGCGAATGAAACGTGTATTAGTGAGTAAATACAGTCTAACGGCTGTCAGCAATGCCCTGACTCACCCGCATTTCAAAATATACGTGTTCAAAATTGCGTTCTTTTTTTCACGACGTTTTTGTTTTACTTCATCTTCTTTGTTTCTATTCGGCGAAATGCATTCACAAGTATGTAATACTTTTCATTTCATAGCCAATTTCAGCGGAATTCACAGACTACTAACGGATTGTTTTCGGAAAAAAACTAATTGCAAATCAATGTTAGGTGTATGCCAATTTCAACCAGAAACGCAATTCGATAGAGAAACAGAGAGAAATCAATTCAAAATTGTTGCTTTACAAGGGAAATACCACAATTTTTTTTAAATTACAACTACGTATAAAAATAGATTTGTTATATTAACCATAGGATTCCGACATGTCGTTGCTATGTAATGTGTTTTTTTACTCTCTCACAAAATGATAATACTGCAATCCCAGTCAATTAATACTTCTGTATTCCACTATTTTTTTATAATGTCCGTTTTTTTATCTGACTTTTTAACGTTCTTCCTCGGTAATCTCAATTGACTGATACTAATGAGTGGCACATTAACTATGATAACTTTGGGTTGTTTGTATTTTTTTCCAACGAAACTGTTTGCAAAAAAACCCGCACAAATTCTGCTTTGAATCGCATACAGAAGACTAAACACTTGTGCAAACAGAATATTCAATGAAGCAAAGTGAACGAAGAAAAAAAAAACTAGTTTTGTCAAAGCCGTTTAGCAAACAGTGGTATAAATTTTAAAGGTAAAAGGTCGCAACGTGCATGGTTTATCACGCACACGCATATAAAATAAACCAATTTCACGAGAAAAAGAATTTTGTTGATTTATATTTATTGTATTACGCACTTGAACATAAAAACTAAACAATTAAAATACACACAAACGGAAATTGATTTAATTTGAATGTTGCAGTTGACGATAAAAAAAATCTGCTAACTTTCTAGTTGGAATCAAACAAACGAGAGAGAAAAACAACGATTGCTAGTTACAACATTCGATTCCACATTGATTGTTGTGCGATAGATGAAATTGGCAGGATTCAGTAAATAGTATGGAAAATATTGAAACAAAAAACGAAACAAAGTTTTGTTGTGTGTATGATTTTTTTTTCTTCACTCTCTTTGTTTTGATTACTTCACGAGTATCTGTGTATTATTACTTGGCTCCCTTGACGTTTCGCAATGAAATCTAAATGACGATGTTGATGATGGTAAAGCCAAAAAAAAAACTATACGAACGAATAATATTTAGTGTGAATTGAGCACAGAAAACAATGCCAAGCAATGACGACGACTATGACAACAACAACAATGGAGTCGCCAACAAACCAATGGAGTAAGAGAGAAAACGAACATCAACCACAACTAAGATCCAATACAAATACAACAAATACACTCACTCGCTCGCTCTCATCAATGATTTAAGTCAATTCAGATTCGTTGGTATTGATGTGCGATATGTATGTACGTGTAAACAAGTTTCGTTGCTAGGTTTTGACATTTCGGTCACGTATAAAACGCTCTACCATGTTATGTGGTTAAACTGCACGGTAACATTGCAGCTGTCGTCTAACCTTATAATTTGAAGTATACAAGCGCGCGCAATTTGAATACATAAATGTAATAACAATTCAAATTCATTTGTATTTTAAACTATGTTATTTTTTCTATTCATGTTGTAGCGATAATATATCGTGACACGGTGACGTACAAAGAAAAGTTATCGAACACGAAACAATTTTTTTAAAATCAAAAGTCTGAACTCATAATGTCTGTTTCTTTGTGTGAATAAATTAATGCACTTAAATCGTTCTGATGATATTTACATTTTCCAAGCACTCAGGTTGTAACACCCTTCGATCGTTTTTTTACACCATGCGTCAGTAACGAAAGCACAAAACTAAATACGAAGCGAACATCAAATGACCGACTATATTCGGTCGTTCGTATAAGTTTTATTTCTTCTTTATGGTCGGGATTTTTGTGTGCATTTGAAATGATTTTGTTGACAAAATCGTTTCAGGAAAGTCATAGTAGAATTTCGATTCAAAAAAATGTTCTTTTTTCTTACATTGAACAAATTCTTGTCAGACATTATATTGAGAATCTGGTATAAGTGCAGAAAATCTTTTGTAAAATCTACACTGTGGAAGCGGTGTCACTTTCCTATACAAAATTTGTTTGCGGTATTGGCCCTCTAATTTTTTGGTACACAACAAAATTATTCCGTCTCTAAAAAAGAGGAGCGGAGAATGAAATTTACTATAGAAAAAACAATTATATCATTTTTACTTTTCCGCCTACACGTAGTGTGAAGGGAAAAGTATTGTAATGGGGTTCAAAAACGAAAATTCTCAAAATGGTCGGAGGTGATCTTTTCTGGGTTGGGAATGAAAAATTTTCTATTAAATTGCTAAATGACGATCTAATATTTCACTAACTATTTCTACATTTTCGATTTTCAAATAACCATTTTTTTTAACTAACTGGTTTACATAATTCTCTTTTCGATTTGGCAGGCTGGTAGGTGAATTGAAAAAATATTAGTTCGAAAGGTGGATTTGTATGAAGACTAAGCCAATTCCACGTACTACGAGGGTTGCTCCATAATTTTTTTTAAAAACATATATAACACAGT